CCCCCCTTTTCTTCATTTGTTTGTTTCAGTGTTCCACTTCATTTCATGGAATAGAATGTATATTTTAATGTCTGATCAGTAGAAACTAACTTAACGAATGAGAAACATTTTCTGTTCTGTTTTTAATTTATGGTCTGTTGAGTTTTTTAATTACGCAGGCATTACACTATTTTTGACTAACATAATCATCTTTGTTACAGAAGGCTAATACTAACACTTTAAAGAACTATGCCATAGACAAATTACTTTGGTTTACATTTAATTTTTGTTGTACAGCTTAAGAATAGCTCTGATATTGTTTGCTTTTCTTTCAGACTGAGGGCTCAGACCAGTGTTCCATGCCTGAGGACTTGGTGAGTAGTGACTGTTCCTCCTCATTTGTTCTAGAATATGAAAGCAGTCCTAAAGCACAACATATTTATTTCATTTTCTTGGTCCTTTGGCCAATTACGGCAGTATTTATGCATTTTGCTCAGGAAACTGTCAGACACTATTTGCAACAGAGCCTAGGGCCTTCTACTTTCTCCTATTTTTCCTCTTTAACCTTACCATAACAATTAGCTTCCAGGCGGTTCCTGGTGTCTTTGAGCTGTGCCCTGTGATTCAAGGTTTACTGCTAATTCTCATTTTTGATAAAGGCAAAACAGTCTTCAGTTGCCAGCTTTCAAACAGAATTCCCCATCCTAAGATTTCCCTGTCTTCCAGGTGGTTTCTATCTTTAGTCAAGCTAGTCTCCTCTATCTGAAGACTGCAAGAGAACATCAAAACATGTTTTCTTTCTCCTCTCCCTCATAACACAAGACTAGTCTTGATGCATGTTGGTATTTCAATGGGTTTATGATCATGTAACCCTGCATTTCAGATGTTGAACTGCATGTTCAATAAGCCAGTGTTGACAAGTGTGCCTGAAGTACCTCTATCCCAGGAAACATGTTCAAGCTTACTGTTGTCTCTTGTAGCAGCTTTGTGGTTTGTTTCTTTAATGCATGTCTGACTTGTAAAATAAGGCTGAATCATTAGCATTTGTTAGGGTTTTAAAAGGTCTTTGAAGGGGATAGCAGAACCTAAATTAAATTGATCAGTTAGCATAGACTTTCCTAAATTCAGATTTCTGGATAAATTATTGTGGATGAATTATTGCCTGTGAATATTTTATAAAGGGCCTTATAAGACATAGATGTGTTGTCATGGCATGTCTCATCTGTTTGCTTTCCACGTGGATGTGGAGTTTCTGAAGTTTCACCTCCATTTCTGAGGAAGAGATTAATGCTACAGGTTTTCTGTGTCAGGCTGAGGAAGGGGAAAGAGGGAGAGAAAATGTCTTTATGACTTGCAATTCGGAGGCTGGTACTTTAGTGCTTATTGGACTCAGTTTTTGAGGGAGGGGGGAACTGGTTAATTTTCCAACGTTTTCAAAGTACTGACGTGTTCTCTTCTCCCCTCTTTCCTTCACTTCTCCGCTTGGCCAGAGAGTGGCTGAAGTTTCAGACCATTGGTGGTACTCCATGCTCATACTCCCTCCCTTGCTGAAAGACAGTGTGGCAGCTCCCTTTCTAGCTGCATATTATCCCGACTGCGTGGGCATGAGTCCATCCTGTACCAGCACCAATCGGTTACCTGGTGAATCCAACCTTGTGAAGTTAGAGCACTTAAAGAGCGTGCCTAATTTGACTGGTAAGGGCCATCTGCAGGGCTCTAGTTGCTTAAATAGGTGTGAGAAATTTTGTCTTGTAACTGAGTTTATAAGACACATAATGCCTCTGATTGGAAGTACTGGTTCTGTTTCTCAGCACTGATACACACTCTCTGTGTAACTGCCTCTGTATATCTTCGATGCAATTTACTCGTTTTGTAAGGTAAAGGTAATACATTTTGTACGGCTTTTCTTTAGGGAGTAAGCAGAGACTGCATAGGCTTTTTGTTTACCACTTGTCATTTGTTTATAGAAATGGGAAATTAACATGTAGGTACTTAAAGATTGTGTTCTTAAGGAAATTAAGATTTATCAAAACAAAACATGATTCTGCTAGTTTTGGTATTGTGGATCTTTGGGCCTTTGGAGAAAAGGATTTGATTTCTTAAGTCACTCAGATTCTGTTTATTTTTTTTTTGCTAATGACAGGTCTGAGGCTGACAGCCTGGGAGTGCAGATCTGCAGAATAGGTCAGGTACAGAGAAAGGTAATTCAGGATTCCAATACTCATCGTGGAGAGAGTGCTTTGAGGGAAGATCAGCTTCTGTGTTGTCTTAGCAGGCTCTGCTCTCCTTAGACGCTGAAAATAAATCTGTTCAACAGATATTTATCTGCTTAAGAAACAGGAAACTTCATTGCTACCAATCCTGCATGTGGAAGATGATTACTTTTAGTTATTGCCCACTCTGGGCAGTACTGGGAGTTGAAGCTGAAGGGTTTCAGAGTACTGCATGAGCCGGTACAGTGATGAACCTTAGACTTGAGTTTAGATCCCGTTCCTTACTGGACTCATCATGGCATCTGAGGCGCATGCTGTTTCTCTGACAAAACTTAAGCTCTGATAGGTCCAAGGCATACCCATCAGGTAGTAGGACAATAATTAATACTGCACAGCCTAGAGGGTTGGAGAGGGGATGGCAATTCAAATGAAATCATTCTGAAGGTGGCTAGAGGCTGGAAAACTTTGTTACTTGTTTATCTGTCTGAGGTCAGCGGATCATCTTAAGAGGGAAAAGGATGTGATGAAGGTACGTCGGAATATGACCGGTTCTTGGTGCATCTTTATCCAGTTGCAGGCATGAACAAGTATTTCCAGCCTTTTTACCAGCCCAATGAATGTGGGAAAGCACTTTGTGTGAGGCCAGATGTCATGGAACTGGATGAGCTCTATGAGTTCCCAGAATATTCACGAGACCCCACCATGTACTTGGCTTTGAGAAACCTGATTTTGGCTCTGTGGTATACAAACTGTAAGGTAAGAGATGCTAATAGTTAATTTGTTTACAAAAACATATCTCCTTTTGGGGGATGTGGACTCTCTTCTCAGATGTTCGGGTGGCTTTTGTTTTTTATTTATTTTTTTTTTTATTTCTAATTTTAACACGTAGGAGCTTCTTTTGCAGGAAAATATGAAAGTTTCAAAAGTACTGAAACTCTACAGAGTGGACCCAGCTATTCAATTTTAAAGTGTTTGTGGGTGCTTTTTGATTTTCTTTTTTTCATGACTGTTGGTCAGGGAAGTGATAGTCTTTTTACTCATGCTAACTCTGTGACGCTGCCTTCAATGGAATTGCTGGAACTTCACATACAGAGGCTTTCAGATACTGATGTCTATATTTATGTGAAAGTTTTGAATATAGATCTATTTTCACTTGGAATGCCATTTTGGAATGGATTTTACTGGAATGTCATTGTGAGCATTGCCACCAGGTAGATTAATTTTGCAATCAGGGATGCATTTCAATTCCTGTAGTAATGGAGCACACCATGGAGCTTGTGAGAGTATCTGGTAGACTCATTTGCTTTTATTCCATGTTAATCTAGCTTAATAAATTGTTACTTTACTGTGTAAAGCTGGCTAGAAAGAAAATTCCACACAACTTGATTTAAAAATGCTCTCAGAAGCCTGATTCATGATTAATTTTTACCATCTGGTTTACAGTTTAAATATGACGTAAATGCATGGAAAAAAAAGATTATTACAAAATCAACTCTCTTTCTCCTTTGCAGGAGGCTCTTACCCCGCAAAAATGTATCCATCACATCATTGTTCGTGGGCTTGTGCGTATTCGCTGTGTACATGAAATGGAGAGGATACTTTATTTTATGACAAGGAAAGGGCTAATTAATACAGGGATTTTATCAGTCAGTCCTGACCACTATCTCCTTCCTAAAGAATACCACAATGTAAGTTGCTGTAGTAATCCCTGCGTCATTAGTGCTATAAAACTACATGGCATATGTTGTATTATTTTGGTTCCAAATTTTTTTTGAATGATAGGTAAAATTACATCTAAAAGCAAACACATTGTATGTTTTTCACATGGTTCTAATCTGCCTTCAATGATTATGGAAACTACAGACATGAGACTCTTCCCAGCAAGGTTTTTGTTCCCACAAAGATCTGTGGAATTCAGTACTATGGATTTGTACTTCCTATGAGCTTTTCAGATGGATGGGAACTGTGTGAAAAATATATGATACACTTATGTTCTTCTCATGGCTTAACCTTACAATACACCTCTGGTTCCACAGGTGAGAAAACTCCTATTCCATATTGGTTTGCAAGAACTACGATTAAAGAGTACATATTTATGACTAGCAATTTGCTTAACAGCACATATTAATTATCAAATTTATTAATGCATTCTGTAATGGAATATCTCCTGGAAATTGTAAGCTGCTTTATGTTTGGAAAGTGTATTTGTATATGTTTTTAATTTATACAATAGTCTTTACTGCTCAACCCAGTCTGTGATTGAAATTATTACAAGGTAAGCATGTTTCTTGTCTGATAACTTCAGTTAGATTTTGTTACTTGGCTGATAACTACAGATGTTTCAGTTAAAAAAAATGGAGACATCTACTTTTAAAGTCCTTAAAAGTTGTAACTATTTTTAAAGCTACAATTTATCTTTTCTCTGTATTAAATGCACTGTCATCTTTAAAAGTTATCATCACTGATGACTTTAGAGGACAAGAGAGCCTAAACTTCTGAAACCTACAGGTATTTTTAACTTAAGCAAGAAGAAAAATAAATACACATGATAATTTCTACTCTAGTTCTAACTATTTTATTTCATTCTTTGTTTATTTTTATTTCTTAGAAATCTGTCATTATTGTTGGGGCTGGTGCAGCAGGATTAGCAGCAGCCCGACAGCTGCACAACTTTGGAATTAAGGTAAGAAACTTTACATTACATTACTTACATTACTTCTCTGCTTTGGAAGTGTTCTTCATTAAAATGAAAGAAAAAATAATAATTACATTCTTGTTACAGACATTTATGTATAGGGTATCTTAATTTGTAAATCTAGGGGCTTACTGAGTATATCTGCTGGTTTAAAACAGCATTTATAGGTATCTAAAATTCAACAAAGCGTGCAGTGAATATTTTCATAGGCTTGGTTTAGGAGAATAGGAGAGACATTCATACAGGGGAGATAATCATGTCCAAAAAATGTGACTGTAGATAATGATGGCTATTTAAATGAGGTGAAAGTTTCTTTTGTTTGTGCACTTTACTGTACTTCCTTGTTGCTTATTAAAAACAATCAAATTTTATGTATTTTCCCTTTCTCATATTTGACAGTGTGATCTCACAATATTTACATGTTGACATAACTGTATTCTATGGGACTCTTTACACATAAAGTGTTTGCAAAGCTGATGTTTAAGGAAATAAATAAGCATCCGACTTTCCAGATTGACATATTTATATGTTCAGACATGTATATATTTATGACTCCCTGAATCCTATAGGCCCATTTTCTCACTCTTTGGTTCCTAAGTAGCAAATTGCAGTACAGCCTTTCCATACTCCAAGTCTTTCGGAAAGCTATCCTGCAGTAAAATACATAAAGTATCAACTGGTAAGACCCTTTTTTAAATATATGATACATTATATATATATATACACACACACACTGTTACTTTCTACTGCTCTGGAGAGACGATGTTTCTCTAAAAATAAAAAGGTAAGTAAATAAGTGTAAACATAATCAGTCAAGTATCTACCTAGTCCAGTATCCTGTGTCTCTCTGTGACAGGTAGTGGATGCTGTAGGAGTATGAATGGTGGAAACACATGAGAATGGGGTTTTCTTGGAATATCCCAGGATTAAATTTCTCCAAAAGGTGTATGGATTTCCTCAGATGGACACTGCACCCAGATCATTGTGCTTAACAGCCTCTAGCACTTAAATACATATATAAATAGCCTTAAATCTAATTTTGAGATGTCCTGAATACGTCCTAAGCCTATTTTTGTTAGGGTAATTTCTTAAATTAACAGTTATTTTATATGCGTATATCTCAAAGGGTAACCTTTAAAAGACAATTTAAATGCATAAGTGGACAACATCAACAAACAAAAATAAAGATTGTTAGCATTGCTGGATTGCTTGGGGTTTTTTGTGTTTGTTTTCTCCTTTCTCTGGAGTTGAGCAGATATGTTTAATATAATAAAATCTTACAATTTACTAAGCTGCATTGTGTCATAGGTCATTATCCTGGAAGCTAAAGACAGAATTGGTGGCCGAGTGTGGGATGACAAGACATTCAAAGGAGTCACTGTTGGAAGAGGTGCACAAATCGTCAATGGATGTGTCAACAACCCAATGGCACTAATGTGTGAGCAAGTGGGTTCCCTGCAGCGGTCATGCATTATCACTAGTGAAAAACTGTCATTAAAGCCAGGTTTGAGTGGCTGGATAAGGGTGGGAGTTCATTTTCATGTCATGATTAAACCACTCTTCTGTGGTGTAAGTAAAGCCTGTGTTGCTATTTTATCTTTGATAACAGCTGGGGACAAAGAAGGGCTGTAGAATGGTACGTTATGTAAAGAAAAGCTTCAGCTTCAGAACCAGAATGAACCACTTTTTGTTTTCCCTTTTTCTGGAGATAATAATGTAAAAGGTCCTCAGCAGACATTCTTAGAGCTGAGAAAGGATTTACGGTGGGAGGTTATTGCTATGTTGTCATAATATATACTTCTGTGATGTGCTTGCTTTTGCTAAGCCTCCACATTTCTAGTTCAATTTCACACAAGATGATTATATCCAACAACTACTAATGCAAACACACTACAGTTAGATTTTTGTTTGTTAGTTTTGTTTCATTTGGGTGTTTTTGGGCAGGAAGCTGAATTTCTCCAAGCGGAACCAGAATACGGATTTTGTTCAGAGAGGCTTGCAAATCCAGCCCATGCTGTTTTAGCTGTATAGTGCTCTATAGTGTCGTGAGGGGATTTTTTTTCATGAGGATGTTTGGCTTTCTTTTTTTTTAATCATGTTTTAGTTATGAGGTGAGGAGCAATGGCTTCTGAATATCCTGGGTGCCCATCACTTTGTGGTCGTTTGATATTGTCTTTCATTCAAAGTACAACTCTATCTTGAGAATGGATCTGCAGTGGTGACCAAATGCCTAGAGATTTGTGAGGATATGTGAAAAACACTGGAGTGCACCGTTATGTAACAGGGCCCTGGGAAGAAGTTTATTCTGATTTAGTTCTGTTGTGTGTTTGATACAACTTAGACAAGTAGAGTGAGGTACTCTAGAAGGTTTAATTCCAAATAATTTCTTTCTCTGCTTGCTTGTTAATAAAATTGGAGGTAATCGTCAAGCAACATCCTGTCAGTTCCTGAATGCAGGGAACTATTTGGGCATCAGGTAGCAGAAAATTCCAGGAAATTATTTTTATGGGTATTTAGAGAATAAGGTAAGGTAGAAATGAAGGAGACTGGTTCATCATGTTTGATGACCAGATCCAACATTTCCGTACTAGCCCCTGGCCTGAGAGGAAAGTTAGACGTAAGGTTTCTGGAAATCCCTGATAAAGAGAAGGATGGCCGAGTGGGGAGAAACAGTTTGTGGACAATCAACAAAATGAAAAATTGTTGGTATTTCAGTTTTAGGAGAATGAAAGCTTGAGTTAGTCTGATTAATTATTTAAAGTTGTGAACATTTTTTAACTGGCATCACTTAAATACGAGGGATTTGACTTAGTTTAAATAACTTCGAGCAGACTATGCACTCTAGTTTTTCCATACTTAAAAAGCAATAAAATGTCTTTTTCTTAAGCTTGGCATTAAAATGCACAAACTAGGGGAGAAATGTGACTTGATCCAGGAAGGTGGAAGGATAACAGATCCCACCATTGACAAACGTATGGACTTTCATTTCAATGCCATCCTAGATGTTGTCTCTGAGTGGAGAAAAGATAAAACTCAACATCAAGATGTTCCTCTTGGTGGTAAGTGGGAGGTATTGCAAAGTGAAGATGTTGGCTGTGTTCATAGACTTGTATTTTAAATTGGCTTTTACAGCAGACATTTTTAGAATTGTATGGTTGTACACCTGACCTTAAATCCAACAGTGATAACCTGGCTCTGTGGAGGACTATCTTATACACACAGACCAAAATGTCACTTGTAACTTTTAAGTCTAATTGGTAGGCTTTTATAATACTGTATGACTTCTGATGTAGTATCTTGTTTTCATGAGGTAGCTTTTTCAGTCTAACTAGTGGCATTAGCAGTTAGAAAGATGTGTTTCTTGCTGAAGCAGGCCATAGTTGGTATGTAACTCTTATACTTTTTGATTAATATAAGTACTCTTATACTTTTTGATCAATCTGTCTAAAAAAGAGCCTGATCAAAGTCTTCTGTTGGCAAGAATATTCCCATCTCCATTGGTAACGCCTCCCACCACATTTACAGCATGCAAGCACATTCAACAACAACAACAAAAAAAAACCTGGCTCACAAATGTCTGCCTTCCGAATCTTTCCAGCTGGATTCTGTAAGACAGAATTAGCAGCTCCTATGTTCTTCAGTGAACTCTGGACCAAATTTCTCAGCTTTTTTGGTTTTGTAAAAATTAAGAAAGGATTTACTTGCAAGGATTCTCCATTATCTTAAGGAGTATTTTCCTTGAAATATCTTCTACTATGTATTGATGATAGCTAAAAATCCTGTCTCAACTGGCTAGCCCAGCTGTGCTGTTGCAGTGTTTCCTTTCTTTTCTTATTTTCTTTGAAATCATTTTAACCTCTTTTTTATCCTAAAGCTTCCTGTTTACTAGAGAAACCTATGATCAAACAACAAAGTTGTTTATCACCAGAAAGTTCTTGCCTTTTTTTTTTAGTTTGTTTTTTTTTTTTTTTTTTCCCCTTATGAGAAGGAAAATGTCTTGGTGCAAATTAGCAATAAGCATGAAAATCTTGCGATCCAGAGATCAGTATTATTGAAATGCAGCAGGACTTTTGACAAATCATGATATATTCTTGTTTTAAACATATTATTTCACAGAAAAAATACAAGAGATCTATAAAGCCTTTATTCAGGAGTCTGGTATCCAGTTCAGTGAGCTTGAAGAAAAAGTACTACAGTTCCATCTCAGTAATTTGGAGTATGCCTGTGGCAGCAACCTCTCTCAGGTGAGTTTTGACAACTGTGTTCTGATATGGTTGAGCTTCACAGGAAATAGGGTTGGAAACAACACTGAGAAATCAACTGATCCATCCCATGGCCCCTAAGGAAGAATCAGCTACCCCTAAATTTCTATGTCCCAAACATGTTCTTTAAATGCACTGTGATACAGACTGCAGCACTGCCTTAGGTAATCTGTCAGGAGTTCATGACTTGCTTCCAGTGAGATCCTTCTTAACATGGAAGTTGAGAGTAGATGGTGCAGTGGAGAAGGACATCTTGCTGAGATACTGGGTGGTAGGATTCACAGGAGAGTTACTCCTCCTCACATGTTGTGTGACTTCTGATTCTCAGTTCTGTGTTTAAAAACTGAGGTATTTCTCTACCTTGCTAGGTATCTTGAAGTTAAATGCATTTAACTTCTGAAGTATCCCAACACCCTGACGGTGGGCCCCAGTTCACCACTCCTAGGTATTCTGTTGACTATGTGATACTTGGCATTCCTCGTGACTTCAGTTTTAATCAAGCAGTTCAGGAAATGGATATCAAAGTATGATGCTGTTTGCACTGCATTATTTACTCAGTCCTGTTGCTTGGGTTAAAGATGTTTAGAGTTAATTGTATTACAGTAGTGGGACAGCTGACTGATCTGTGCAGATGCACAAATCTGATCTGAACTGAGAAGCACATAACATAATAAAAATCTTCAAGACCATGGGCAGTCAGTGGAAAATAGTTTGATGTGTCAAGTCTTCACACTTCACAAACACCCAGGGGAAATAAGAAAAATGTTAAAATCTATCTTACCTTCAATTTTAAACTCAAAATATAAAGTAAATGCAACCGCAGTGATAGGAATTGGCATTTGAATAGCAGTTTGAGAATTGCTTCGTATTTTTTACTGCCTAGTGATAGTTGCACTAAGCAATCACCACTTGTACTACTAGTTTGCAGGGGTGGGGGAGATCAATGAAAGATATCATGGAGGAAAGTCTAAAGTGACAGAAAATTTCCACTGAGATCTTTCAGTATCTCATTTTTCCCTTCATGCTGGGAAATAAAATACTTCAATTATTATTTGAAGTCTTAAGGCTGTAAAATCTGATTTCTTTGCTAGAGACAGAAAACCAAAATAAATACACTGCAATCCACCAGAAATTTTGTACTGCTTTCCTTGTTTTCTCTGCTAAGCAGATCTATAAATTACCTGCTATTGACCAACCCATATTATGACATTTCTTAATCTAGCAATTCATATGTTGTATAGTGCCCTTAGCTAAACAAGCTGTTTGGTTTTGTCAGTGTTGCCATACATTCCGGTGATACACATTTTTTTTTTTCCAGTTGTGAAAGGAATTATGGTGGCTTCTTCTAAACTGTGTGACTTTTGCTAGCAGCCATGTCACCTCACCTGTAGAGACAGCTAGTTATGTTCTGTCCACAGGTATCTGCACGCTCATGGGACCACAATGAATTTTTTGCACAGTTTGCTGGAGATCACACTCTTCTAACTGTGGGATATTCTACTGTGATTGATAAATTGGCAGAAGGACTGGACATCCGGCTGAATTTCCCAGTGAGTCTGGAAAACGTTGATGTGGTGCCTGTCTGGGATTGCTTTGAAGCGCACAATTGTAACTTTGTATTCTTTCGGACCAGACAGATCTGTGCCTGTGATTATTATTAACGACAAGTTGAAATAAAGAGAGGACCATTTCAGCATTTCTGGAAATCCTCTTTGAGGACTATCAGTACTTAAATATTATGATGAGCTTATATGTTAGAATCACGATGACTTTTCTTTTCACCTTCCATGGAGGCTATTTTTTTCTTTCAGTATTTCTTGGAGAACTTGTGTTCTTCAATTCCTAGTTTTCAGATTGGTGATATATTTGCTATTGTCTGAATTTGCATTGCATATGTATATTTTTGTAGTATAACCTTCTTCAATTTGTCTCTCAATAGGTACAGACTATTGACTATTCTGGTGAGGAAGTACAAGTCACTACTGCAGATGGAACAGTGTGGACAACACAAAAGGTACCTAATACGCTTCAAGATTAATATTCAATATTGAATATTCAATGTTGACCACAGTACATGTCCTTTTTTCTTTCTTTTTTTCCTTCCCCCTCATTAGACTAATTTAGTCCAATTTCTCTCCACGAAGATGAAAACACTATATACTTAAGTGACTCATATTTGGAGGTCCTAGAGTTTATTTTTCATTGAGCATGCTTCAGTTTTGAGTACTAGTTAACTTTAAGAACTAGACACTACAAAGGTAGTAATAAAAATGTGAAGCAAATAGATTTTTGTCTGGTCTTTGAAGTGACAATTATGTTTTCTGGTTCTAGTCCCTGTTCAGCATTACCCCATTTAGCTGGTGAATCTGCCCTGTTAAAAGTTTTGCCTTTGGCATGCAGAACTTGACAACCTGTATTTCTTTGTATCCCCACTGGCTTCATGCTGTGTAATTTAGCCTTTAGTAATTTTTAAAAATACACATAAATTTGATCCAGACTGGATTGACATCAACAGTGTTACTGAGCATATTTTAAAGAGCAGGGATCTGTGAAGGAAGAAAAAACAAACCAAAGACCATCTTTTCTCCTTTCAAAAAGGACAGTTTTGTTAATCTGAGAGCCACTGATTATAATTTGCAGGAGGTATTAAAATTAGTAGCATGGTTATCCACTCTGATACAAACAATTCAACGAGACGGCCACTTAAACCGCATGAACCATAGGATCTGTTCTTTCCTGAATGCAAGTCATGAGCTTCTCATTAATGGGGAGTAAAACTAGACACTGATCTAAAGACGTCTGGTAAGTATTATGCTGCATCCGACAAGGATAATCCAAGTATTCAGGTTTTGCTACTGTTGTAATTATTTCTTTCAGGTATTAGTAACTGTACCACTGGCCCTTCTTCAGAAAAATGCCATTCAGTTTAATCCTCCACTGTCAGAAAAAAAAATTAAAGCCATTAATAGTTTGGGAGCAGGAGTCATTGAGAAGGTAAGTTATTTCAGATTACATTTAATTTTCTTTTCATAGAAACACTGGCTGCTTTGTCCCTGTTGCCTTTGCTGTGTATTCCTCAGGAATTATTATGCATTTGGTTTTACTTGTATACAGTAGCCTAAAAGAGCAAAATAATATTGGGGATCACATGTATTTCTCTTTCTTAGATTTCCCAACTTAATAGGGTTTTTTTTAAAGAAATTGTTTGCAGAATCACTTCACAATTTAAACGTTTTGTGCTTAATTTTGAGCAAGCCATCATGATCATCTTAGATCTTCCAAAATTCTAATAATATGCTTATTCTGGGTCCTTCTGACCTAATAAATACATAAGCTATTTCAGAAGAATACTGAAAGTTGTGTTTTGACCAGCGTAAAATCTTCTACGCTTTCCCAGTGCAAATAGAGCCTCTCTTGAAATGATCCCTAGTAAGATCACAGATGTGTGCTTAGAACAAAGTAGTACCCGAAGTAATGCCAGGAACACCACTGTAACAATGTCGAAATTTAAAGTCAAGGTTCAGAAACTACAGAACTTGGGATCACCAAGTTGTACATTAGGTTTGTAAAAATTCTGCTGAATTTCTCGAGCATTTTCCATCATGATTTCCACTGTGAATTTGACAGTCTGTGCATCTGCAATTTGTGAGACTAGCATCTTTTTCTCTTCCCTGTCCCTCTTGGAAAACAGACCCACATGTTCTTTGTTGAGACCCTCTCATAGAACTGGGTGTCTCTAATTGAGTGAAAAAGGGACAAAGAATTAGAAGAACATAGACCATATTCAGCTTTAAATTTTGAGATATGAAATGCTTTAATTCCATCTCTCTCTTTCTCTCTCTCTAGATTGCCTTGCAGTTTCCTTACAGATTTTGGGACAGTAAAATTCAAGGAGCTGATTTTTTTGGTCATGTTCCACCCAATTCCAGCCAGCGTGGGCTCTTCAGTGTTTTCTATGACATGGATCCAGAGGTATCATGTGCCAGCTGTATTTTCTGTTGGCCCTTCAGATATTCAGTAAGGAATCTAGGTGCAATAATTACTGAACAACAAGTTTTCTTTTTCCCCCCATCCATGCAACTGTTAAAAGAAGTGGAAGAAGTGTTGTTTATCAAGAAAAATCTGATTGATACTTCTTTGTAATGAATGGGAATATTTTCTTACTTTTGGATACAAAATAATATACAAGAAAGTTTGTGCTTTTATTTTCAAGCTACCCTGAATAGAAGTCTGTTAATACCTGACTACAGATGTACTAACATGGGATAAAGTCTACTGGTCACTTCCAGTTTAGGATTTTTGTTCCCTTACTTAAATCAGCTAAAAATCCTGTTAAAAAGATCATGCTGGCTTATTAACACTTAGTGACTTGCACGAGCCTGAATAACTATATTAATGGCAGAAGAAAAGACCAACACTAAGTTTTGTATGAAACTGAGGTCTGTAGGGTCAGTCCCAAACTCACGAATTTCAAAACAAATTCAAAACAGTGCCTTGACATCATGTTTCTTTTCCCTGCCAGTTCCAAGCAGACACATTACACATTTTTATCTTACCTTTTCAGGTTTTTACAACAACTGCTGTTTACTACTTGGCAGCAATTAAAAGGTCATTTTGTAACCTTATGGCTTACTTCAAAAGGAAGCCATCCTGTGAAGATATTACTAAGCTCTCTGTACCTGTACATGACTTCCCTTAAAACCAGTTTTCTCTTCAGTGCTTTTAAATTCATTCTACATGAGGTTCAGTGTGCTGGTGCTGTCCAGAGACACTAGATATAATTTTTAATTTGCCTGATAGCTATTCTCTGCTAGAAGAATTGGGCCAAAATCTGCTGGTGAGAACTTAGTATTTGCCTAATCCAAAATATATCTGACTAGTATTTAAATAGATTCTTTTTATTACAACCTTCTGAAACTGGAATTCAGTTGAAGTAGAATTTTGGCACAGAACTGGAACTCAAGAGGTTTGCCACAAACAATAACACTATAAATGTCAAATGTTTTGGTGTAGCTTTTAAACAGGTAAATAGGAAGTTTTCAGATAATTCAGCAAGTTGTGAAAGGGGCTGACTGTAACACAGATATGTGAACAAGACATCAAAGGATGTTAGTAAATTGAGCATAAATATTGTAGAATATGCACCCTTTATTCTAAGGAATCAAACCCACTTTCCTCTAGAACAAAAGTTGCTTTGTAGCTGAGAATCTCTCTGTCAGTACTGATTAAAAGGAAGTCTTCAAGAAATACTTAATAGCCTAATAATTTCAAAATGATCTCCTATGTTAATGTCTTGGTTTTAGGGCAAAGAAAGCATTTTAATGTCAGTGGTCACTGGAGATGCTGTGACAACCATTAAGAATTTAGATGATAAACAAGTACTGCAACAGTGTATGACTGTGCTTCGAGAGCTGTTTAAGGAGCAGGTAAAAGACAACTCTTTTATTAAGAGATGAATTAACTTGCCGAAAGATGTAAAGTTTTCGATCGTGTTACTTCATGCTGTATAGAAGAACCTTTGACGTTTAAAACTATTTTTCCTTTCTTACCAGTTTGAGAGAATACGCTTCCTTTGAGACACTTAAAAACACAATGTTTGGTCTCTTGTGTGAAAAATGTGAATTGAAATATCTTAGATCTGTCTGCAGGAAAATGGTAATGAATTGAAAACCAGAAATGAGCTATCACCCTTCAAAGTGCTTTTAGAAAGGCAAATTAATAAAAATCAGTACTTTAGTCAGGTAACATAAACACGCTTCTTTCTTAGCTGTCATTTTTCCTAAGAGACAGTTGGGTGGGGTTTTTTTGTCAGCACTGCTTCCAATACATGATAAAAGCTTAAGATAGATTAATTTGATTATGATTTCCCTACACCCTATGTAAAAAGCAACTGAAAATACAATGCCCCCCAAAACAAATCCCTTACTCTTATAATAAGAAACAACCCTTCCTGAGCTTTCTTGGAATGGAGGTACAGGCAGAAATATTTATCAAGGACCCTGCATCCTGAGTGTAAAAAACCACCAGAAATTTCTACCTTTTTTCTTCCCCTCAGCTCATGATTATGATAAAAACTAATAGAAAACTCATGGAAATCTGGGGCAAGCAGAAGACTATCACTTAGCAATGTTATTTGCATTCCACTCTATAGAAAGTAATGCCTTAGTTTAAATTACTTAGAGCAGCTGGATCCCAAGGAATGCTTGTGCTAATGTTCATGGGTGATCTCTCAAGTTTTACTGATGGTTCAGATGTTAGGATTAATGATCTTGGAAAACCTTTGGTATCTGAAAGCTCAGCTGTTCTTAGAAAACATACATTTGGTGACAGTTTACAGTTACCAGAATAACGTGCAATTTAAGTCCACATACCTGCTATTGTGATCTCATGAGAATGTAGAGGCAGCAAACAGGTCTTTGGTTTTAGTGATGCTCTGGTCTAGAAGAGTGATTTTCATGTCCATCTCCATGCTTTATAGCAGTTGTGAATTTCAGTCATCTGTCCACAACACAGTGTGATTCTCAAAGACATGATAGCTTCCAGGGGTGTATGGGAACTTCTGGGTTGTCCATGAAACTTGCCATGGTTAGCCACTGTCTTGATTGCTTGAGCTTTAGTTTCTCATGTGCTACCTGAATGGAGCAGTCTATTTGTTGATATCAGATGTTGTGTAGGAGGCAACCAGGGGTGCTTCTGTTTATTTGTCACAAGCTCCCCAGGTGTAAGACACAGCTGTAATTGACTAAGCCCTCAGACAATTGTTTTCCAGGCTCTTTTTGGTAGAATTATGTGCAATTTTTATGCTGCAATGTGACAAAGAATACACAGTATTACTGTCATGGCTTAGCTATAGACACTCTTGACTTCTAGGTTTGTTTTGGGTAGGGTTTTTTTTTTTTCTCCCTGAACCTGGTTTTCAAGCCAGTCCATTTTCTGATCTTAGATAAGTAATGTTATTTCTCCGTTGGAATAAAATTATCTCCAAAATTTTGAGAATTCCACCCGCCCTCCCCCCCCCCATGTAGTTCTAGGTGTATTACAATATCCAGATTTGTTGCATTCAATACAGTGCAGCTGTGATGTTTTGGGCATCAGGCAAGTCTAGCAAAGAAAATTATCTTTGTGGTTAGTATTGTAACAAAGAAAATGGGAATTTAATTCTGAAATGTGATCTTATCTGCATACTCTAAAGATTAAAAGAAACTGTTATGAGATGAAGCTATGCAATTATGAGCTTTTCTTTGCAGTGCATAACTTCCGTTTTCTGTTTTGCAGGAGGTTCCTGACCCAGTGAAGTTTTTTGTTACTCAATGGAGCAAAGACCCTTGGCTCCAGATGGCATATAGCTTTGTGAAAACAGGGGGCAGCGGTGAAGCTTATGATATTATAGCTGAAGACATACAAGGAAAAATTTTTTTTGCTGGTGAGGTAAGTATCTTTGTTACTGTTGATTAAACTTATTGAGGAACTATTTCTTATGAAAGATCATCTTTTGCTAACCAACACCATTAATCTAGAGGTAGCACATAAATACTCTGTTACACAAATATGCTAACTCTTCATCAGGGATTGTAGCGATAGGACAAGGGGTAATGGGTTCAAACTTAAACAGGGGAAGTTCAGGATAGCTAACAGGAAGAAGTTCTTTACAGTGAGGGTGGTGAGGCACTGCAACAGGTTGCCCAAAGAATTGGTAAAAGCTCCATCCCTGGCAGTGTTCAAAGCCAGGTTGGACAGAACCTGAGGTGCCAGGGTCTGGTGTGAGGCATCCCTGCCTGTGGCAGGGGGGCTGGAACTAGATGATCTTAAGGTCCTTTCCAACCCTAACTATTCTATGATCATAAGGTCTTTTCCAACCCAAACTGTTCTGTGATTGTATGATTCTAACATTTTTTGATTTTTGGCTCAGAATCCTTTTTATTAATATTATTTGGCATGGAAAGTCTACCAAATATTTCAGGTCAGGAGTGAACCATGTAAACTGTAAGTGCAGAACATGACAAGGCTATGCAATCCACTTGTATCTTTAGTCAAATTGTCTATTAGTCCATTTGTGGGTAACATAACAAATGCATGCTGCTGATGGTATAGGTGCATTCTATACTGGATCAGAACTTACCTGCCCCACTAAAGCGCAGATGCCAAAACAGACTACTACTTTTGCTAGTTGATTTGCCTGCAAATTTTGAAGTAGCTAAAATCTTACATATTTCCTCCTAAATCCTTCCTAAGTAGTTTTCCATGGCTTTTAAAAATGTTTATATATGATTAAGGAAAATAAAAGTGATATTATAAACTGAAATTCTATCTGTTCTAATAGTTCTAGAAAAAACTAACTTTGTTTGTTTAAATACAGGCTACAAATAGGCACTTTCCTCAGACCGTCACAGGAGCTTACTTGAGTGGAGTTCGAGAAGCAAGCAAAATAGCAGCATTTTAAGTACTGAAATTTTGTGTTTATAGATATATTTTTAATTGTTTTCTGTGGGTAAAACTATCTTCAAGTTTCCTATCGCTGCCTTTTCCCTAAGTGGCACTTAAATAGTGTATGGTACCTGAAGATAAAATCTTCATCTTCCCTTTCTTCTTTCTCCCCAGCCCTTTCACCCCCCTCCTTCTAAGCCCTGATGATACATATTTTTGGGGATTCCAAGGTATTACTAGCAAGAGTGACACTGGAATCCCTGGCCGCAACTTAACTGATAGAACTTCTATTGAGAGTCCTCTTCTGTATGGCTCGAGTCACGCTATTGTGAACCTTCATTTCAGAAGGTCAGATTAAAACAAGACAAAGTTAATATACAGCATTAAAAATGCTGGCAGTTAGTAATGACAGGAATTTTCCACTAACTAACTGTGCTTCTCAGGTTAATTATGCTCGTAGGAGTTCCAGTTTCCTCCCCAAAGCCTGAATAGCCTAGGCAAATTCTAGAATTATTGTAGGAAGGAACTCAACTTTTTCCACTTGGAATCAATAACCTTTTCTACAATATTTTTCATATTCTTAGCATCCACAAAGTGGGCTTTGGAATATCAAGTTTGTTCCTTTAAATCAGATGGCTGGAACAGTTTTCTGTGCAATCATAGAAAGGTTATTGTAGCTAATAGAACTTGAAAAATTAACTTTTACATTACTTTAAGACTAAAATCTTCTTTCTGCTGCTTATTCAGAGAAATTTTTATTACAATAATAGGCAAAGTACAGATTTGCTTAGTGCTTCTGATCATGTAGGAACAGGGCAGCTTAAAAATACTCTTCCCTCTATAAGTATTTTGAAAACAGACTTCCAAATTAAATTTGGGCTGAGTAGAGAAACTATCTACTGTTATGAGTACACAGTTGGGGGTGAAGGACTCTAAGTTCCTAAAGGCTCATTCAGCTTTTATATTTAAAAAATAAGTGAAGATGAATGAGGAAAAACATTAACACTTTTATGAAGGGCTGAAACAAGGTGGCTTGCACTTTGACTTGAAGTTGGTTTTTTTTTCTTCTTTTTTCCTTTATAATTTAAGTATTATTAAAAACAACTTGAGGGAGTAATTCATTAAGGCCTAAGCATCTATCTAATAGCTTTTCCATGGGACAGGGAAGGAGAGAAAGTATTTTTCAATAGAAATAAGACAGATGTAACCAGGATCTCTGCTGTAATATTATTCCACTAAAATGGTATTAATGAAAAGAAAATGTAACCCAACTTTTAGATCTCTTCCCTCATGCCTTCCCTCTAACTCCTGCACAAACCTCCTGACTTTTGGAAGGAAAGTAAGCAGTAAGCACTTATTCTCTTCCCCCTCATCTATTTTCATGCATAGGGATTTTTCTTTTTATTTTTAAGTCTCTTTGTTTAAGAATAACAGCAAACTTTTGAGTTACAGTGCTTATTTCCACAAAGCTGTATCCTTGGGGAAAAAAAACAAACCAAATCCAACAAGCAAAAAAAATCCTACTGAATAAATGCAATTCTTCTTTTTAGACACCTAACATTTTGTTGTTAGAATAGCTATGATATTGTTAAATGCCTTTATTTAATCTCTAATTTACGAGGTGAAGATGTTTATATAACTAGATGTTTTTCAGATATATATTCTGTTCTGCTTCTTGAAGCTGAATTATATGAATTAATAGGAAAAGTATAACTGTTCCTAATTTCCCTCTATATAAATGCTAGTATGTACAGTTTAAAAGTATTTCCAAGTATTAAATTGCAATTTAAAGGTTATAAGAAGCAAGACAAAATCCTCTGATGAGAAAAGGTAATCAGGCATCAGATTTTGCTTTGGGTAATCACTTGCACTTTGTTAATTTCATATATTACAAGCCACTTCAAAGCCTAAGTAGGAAAGATTGAGAGCTGCATATGTTTGACTTCCAAGTTTCTTTTCCAGTTTATCACACGTAACAAAATTATTGGGAGAGGAGCTTCCAAAGATAGGGAAAAAAAACCCTAATTTCTACGAGCCCAAATGGCTGCTTCAGCTGACTTTGGTCAAAGCTGGCTAAGTCAGCTTAATAACAACATATAAACACATTACATTTTAAGACAGGAAATGTCTGGAAAGTTGAGCTCAGCATCCATTTCTGCAGTCCAAAGTTTGTGTGAACATGCTTCATTTTAGGTATATGCTTCCATCCTGTTAATTTGTACTTGGAGTTTCAAATCTATAACTTTGCAGGTAGATAAATGCTATATTCTAGAAAATAAAGATGGATGTGAACAAATATTGTCACAATTGGCTTCAGCTGCTGCACACTTCTTTTAGCATTAAAAAAAGCATAACAAATGATGAATTAATGATGAATTTACTAATGGCCTAGTCTATTAATTATTTGTATTTTATTTTGGTGCCAAGGCACTTAAACTATGTTGTGCTGCACTTCAGTTTGAGGAGTAAATAAAATAAGTATGTTCCATTATAATTTACATTTGTTTGAAATGTATAAGAACATCAGGCTGGTTCTGAGACTTCATTCCTTAAATAATGCTCCCCCAAAATTTTTTTGATACCTATGTAAAAATTTATTTCAAGCATGTATATGTTTTTTCTTTTGTGTTTAATTTATTCCCTGCAAATAAAGGACTGGGGAATGTTTTCTTTGAGAAGATTTGTTAAATGTTTGAATGCAGAGCATGATCTGTTACAGTTCAACTCTTCTGTGTGACTATGTTATGGCAGCAGAATAAAACTGGAAAGTATCCACAGGATGCTCATGTTTTGGTGGGTGTTTGTTTTTCTGTTTGTTTTTTTTTCCCTTTAAATTTAACTAGTAGTTAAACCTACTTTTTGTTACATTTGATATTATGATTTCATTTACCAAATTCATAAGCTTGTATCAGATTATTTTCCTTAGCCAGAGGAAACAGTTGCTTAGAAGCACTGTCCCTAATTTTAAAATAGCCAGCAAAAATCACCAGAGAACCATTTAATGCTTTTCACTGAATAATTGTAGTATGAACACTTTGTAGGTTCCTGAAAGGTTCCTCATAGTCACACATCACTGTAAGCACGTGCAAGCCTAACTATAGACTCAAAACATTTAAAATACAGCAACAAATTCTGATAACACTTATCTACATTGTTTTTCTTGACGGGGAGGTTACATGTTTGTTTAGTTTAAGTCTGATTGCAGACAAAAACAAACCCCAAAAACACCCAAATAAAAACCAAACCCCAAACTCCTACTTCCTTTTAAAGTTTGTTTCAACCAGTTACACACGTAGGTTTGAACCAGTGAAAGCATTACGGTGCAGAAGATTCACCACTTTCCTCTAACCCTGTCATACTTGATTAGCAGTTCAAAGTTTGTATCCCAAAGACGCACTTTGTTCTCCTAATATCTTCCGACAGGAAATTGTTATTATTACACTTGCCCTGGTCTTGAAAACAGTAACTTCATTCTAAGAATAACAATTTTTGAAATGGAAACAAAATACTAATGCTGCTTTTAAAATTAAGTGCCAATCAGCAGATTTCATCACGCTTCTCCTGAGAACGACAGTCCTTCCAGAAAACAGTTGATGTGAGGGAACTTTTTTCCTTACAGCCTGCCTGTTTAAAACTTAAATCAGAAATAAAAGTGAAGTAGTGAGTCTACAAAGGGGTACAATCCAGTGAACAAGGTCAGGTGAAAAGGCAGGGCAAGTTACATAATATTGCCATCCTCTTACCCCAGGCCCTCAGGAGATCATTTTAAGCCATTACTCAGAACAAGGCCAAGTGGAACTGGTTGCTCAGGGTCCTGCCAGGCTCAGTTCTGAACATCTCCAGCAACAGGAATTCTACAACTGCTCCAGGCCCTGTTTCCATGTGACCAACCTCATGGTGAAGCTTTTCTGCCCCATACCTGTAATTGCACCTTGTGGTGGCAGCTTGTGCCTGGTGCCTCCTATCCTCTCACTGTGCACATCCAAGCAGAGCCTGGCCCTGCCTTCCTCATGCTCTCCCATTTGGTAGTTGCAGACCGCACTATGATCCCCTTTTATCTGTCTCTTCTTAAGGCTGAACAAGCCCAGCTCCCACAGCTTCTCCCCTGCATCATGTGCTCCAGCCCCCTGGCCATCTTGGTGACCCTCCACTGGACTCGCTCTGGTATGTCCATGTCTGTTGTGCACCCAGGAGCCCAAAGCTGGACTCTGCTCTTGGAGGCAGGGTCATAAGGGCCGAACAGGGGGTAAGAATGACTTCCCTCAAGCTGCTGGCTACACACTTGCTGAAATAGCCGAAAGTGCTGTCAGTGTTCCTTACCACAGGGCACATTGCTGAGTCGGGTTCGACTTGCTGTCTGCAAGAACCACCTGCCCCCCTACCCTGATCCCTTTTTGCAAATCTGCTTAGAAATAAACCACTGTCTCCAGCCACACTGTTGGAAAGGGGTTATTCCATTCCAGAAGCAGGATGCTGCATTTGCTTTTGTCGACCATTATGAGGTTGCTGTCCACTCATTTCTCCTGCAGGTCAAGGTCCATCTGAATAAACTTTTAGACCTGTAGCTTCTTTAATAAATATTTCTGAATTCAAAGGCAGGAGAGACATTATAGCAGAAGAAAAGAATATGCTTATCAGCATTCAACATATTTCTTTGCTTTTTTCAGCAAGTGAAACATTGATTTTACTAAATTTCTTACTGCACATTTTCAGGAAGTATGCTGCACCTTTCAGATTTTTCCACTGTTTTGCCTAAATAATAACTAAAATTCCAACTGCCACCACCAGAAGTCATTTCAGCAATACTTTCAACTCACTCAGTCAATGCTACTTGATTATAGTCAACTTTGCGATTTGGAAACAGGAATAATTAGATCTACCCAAGTGGTTATGAACCACCCTCTCTTTGAAACAACAACAGAGCTAGTAAGCCTTATTGGAAATCACCATGCTGACTGCCAGGGGCATCATTCAGCCAGATTAAGCACTGGCTCCAAAAAGGTTATTTTTAAGTCCATCTTAGCAGTAGCTAATCTAAACCCAGACATTCATAGATATTGCTGTCATATGCCTTGTAACACGATAATGCAGTAGGAACACAGATGCTATAAGCAGCCTGCTCAGGCCCAAGAAGGCTATTAGTCTAGAGCTTCCAGAAAAAAAGTGGAATGGTGCTTAAAGTTGTATCTTTCTAATTTCATCTCTGTTAGATATGCCTGAGTAGTGTACCATATGTTACCACATAACTCCAACTTAGCTCCTTTCCTAAAGACATGTAACCTCTTCACTCAAAATTTCTATTCTTCCCTTTCCCCTCCCAGCCCTCTTCACCCTTCTTCTATAGGGCCCATACACTGCTACCTCAGGTGCCAAACTCGGTCTTAAGAACAGTTGTTGATACAAGGAAGTCATTCAGCTCAACTTGGGTGGTTTTGCAGGTCACTAACCAAAATACTGAGTAGCAAAAACTGAACTAAACAGAGGAACAAATACACTGGACTGTAGGAACTATGCTGTAAGTAATCAAATCAAAATGTTAGGACTATTTTTCTAGAATACAACAGTCAGGACATAATCTTAAGCAACTGGAAGGTACATGCCTGAACACTTTAATTAGTTACCTTTTCTCCAGTTATCCAGTTTCTACTTTATATGAGCACCTCTGTACAGGATTTAGAGCTCTGATCAGCTGTGTTTTTAATCCAATAGTATCAGGATAAGCAAGACATTTTATTTACCTTTCAGTATTGTGCTGCAGCCTTTCCCCAAGTTGTAGAAAGAACGGGAATCTTGTCTCAGCCAGACTAGCATGGATTAGCAGGGAAACAGCTCAGACATTTCTTCTCTGTTGAGGACTACACTGAGTTGTAGTTAAGAGATTGAAACAAAGTATTTGAAGGATGCCGAGTTCATTTCCACTCCATCTGCACAATTCCAAAGTGGCAAGAAATGTGTACATACAATAAATAGAAGTACACTAACCTTTTGCAATTTTTTGTTAGAATTTTTATACTTGTGAGTCATTCCTCTTAAAAACACCTCCTGACCCACATAACTGAAACCAACTGGTATATTTACCTAGAAATCACAAGGCAGTTCAAGTGTTTGTAGAAAATCCATCCCAAAACCCAAGAAAACTTGATGGAAGTAATTTTCTGCTTTTAAGCTGGACTTGGAAACTTTTGATGCTCTTAATTGTAAATTAAAAAGTGGTTTTTATGCTAAGACAGTTCAGAGAAAAAAAAACCCAAACAAATAAAAAGAAACCAAACCCTATGGAAGATATAAAACTGTACCCTGGTGCAAGGACATACATTTCAGCAATAGTATCTTTAAAACAGAGAAGCCTGATGAAAAAAGCTTGACTAGTTTCTACCAGATGAGATAAAGACAACCTTGTTTCTGTATAGATTCTTTTTTTTACTATATATTTAAGCAAATGTTAGATCATTGATTTACATTTTTGTGAAAGACATTTATTGAATACAAAACCCCCCATTACATTCAGCCTTATTATAAACTATTACACGCAAAGAAACTCAAAAAGTATATTAAGAATAATAGTCTACCTGGCTGAACATTTTCAGATTTTAAATCATTTATGAACCCATATTTCCCAACTGTACAATAAAATTCAAAAAATATGCTTTGTCTTTCAGCAATACTACAGTCAGAGAGATTCTGTACTCATGGCGTTAATGACAGCCCACACTTTGGCAATTATTAGTTTCATAATTGTAAGTGTAGGATTGCCCAAGGTATATGGAGAACAGAAACCTAAAGAACAAAAACTTATGCAAACAGTTCACTTCTTTGATCTGAAAAGCTGTGGGCTAAAGCTCAAGACTGCAGGCTTAAAAGTACCATTGTCCATGTCGAAGCACCAAGGCTCAGGTTCAGAAGTGCTTTCGCATACAGAAGAGAACTTAACCACACACATCAGCGCTGCCCGATACGGAAGCCCCACTGTGGATTTCCAATGCTATTGAGCCTCCCAGCTGTGCATCTTGGATACTCACTTCCGAGATGCTAGGCCATCAAAAGTCAAGACACTAAAGTAAAGATTTTTTTGCAAAGTGACCTTTACAAATTTTCCTACAGCCTGTAGAGGGAATTTTATTTACTTTCTCAAGCCATTGAAACAAATGTATCTGTAGTCTTTTGTACAAAGTTATATGCTGAAAAGCTTAAGTATAAAACTACGGTTTAGTTTCTGTACAAGGCAAGATGGGACAAACATCATAAAACCTCAACTTGTTTGTAGTTTCATGAAACTTCTGCATAACACTTTTCATCACAGCCTCACTGCTGAACACTGACATTTCATGTCATAAATTCTAAGATAACAAGATTAAAAAACTGATTTGCACAAAAGAAATCTGAAATAACTTTATATACACAACAAAAAGCCTTTTGAAAGTACAAAAATAACATCTTTATGCCAATTAGTTACCATGCTTTGACAGTTATCTCAGTGCCTACACATGCAAGACAATAATCTAGATTCAGAATAATTCTGCATCTGTAGAATGTATCAGAATATAAAAGAGATTAACATGTGACTAACTCTTGTTATTTTCAGAATGGATATGTATTCAAAATATCTTTATAACCAATACTGCGATATTCCAGTCTCTGCATGTATATGTGTAGATAAGCAGCTTTCATCTTACTTGATTTTAAAATCTCCTGCAAGCTAGTAATCCACACTAAAAAGCTATGATGGTTCTAATGAATCTAGTTATACAAAGCAATTCAAAATGTACAAAAATTATAAAAAGGGACCATTTATTGCCATGCACAAAGCTTAAGTATGTTCAACTAAAAACTGCATCAAATGCAGGTTTGTTTGCCAAAAAAAAAAAAAAAAAAAAAAAAAAAAAAAGAAGGAAGACACACAAAGCAATTTACATCAACACTCTTAACATTAGATCAGCAGAATCGGCTCTGACTAAATACCACCAAGGGTAACACACATTCCTTTTGCTGGTGCCTATCAGATCTTCAAATCCATGGGAACATAAAACCAGGAATCTTCATTCCCCACAGTCAAATCAGATCATGAAATCAACTGAAAAGAGAAGTGTATTAGTTTTCTCCTTTCTCTCAATCCAGTTACATAAAGCTACTCCTTTTCCATCAGACTATCAAGAAAATGCACTCTACTTTTGCTATCACAAAAACCCAAGAACATCCCTACAGCAAACAAATGCTCTCTTAAGCCTTCACTGATAATGACACATGTATGCACAGCAGATAGGCACAACTGTTTCTAGATAGGCATGTATCAATTTACGCAAATGAAGCCACAAGAGAAAGTTACTTTATTAACTCCACTAAGAAAACCTCACTTCTCAGGTTCCATTTTTAGTTTTGGGGCAAGCAAAAGTAATTGAACTTGAAAATTTTTTTACTAATCACCAACCACAGACCAGACTATAAATCCTTTGCCATGAATACATTAGATCACTAATCTTCAGTGCAGCAAACTCGAAGGCAACATAGTAACTGAGTTACCAGGAACACATGCAGAGAAAAGCTACCTATGCCCTTTTGCCTTCTCTCCTTGCCAAAGCTTGCAGGTCTGCGGAACTTACAACTACCTCATGCATTGTTACCTAAAATATGTACGTGGTCAGTGAATGAATTACAGTGTACCTTGCAGCCCAGGTCTGTCATTTAAAGCAAAAGCATAGCTTTCAGAGAGTAAAAGTCATCAAAAATGATGACAGCTTTAATTCTAGTTCTGCTTACCAAAGAAACTCCTAAGAGCAGTAGGGATACAAAACAGAAAAAAAACAAACCAGAACCAGAGCTCAGGTTTATTGGAGCACTAAACTTCCAATACTATATAGGAGGCTGTTAAAACTAGTGCAACAGGATGCCATGCCCCTTTCTAAAGGCTGAAGAAAAAAAATACCCCAACCCAGCACATTTTCTAAATGATAAAGTCTTTACCTCTTTGACTGTTTTTTTAATGAAGTCTTTCCTGTCAGACAAATCATAACTAGGATAGTTTTCATACACCTAAAAAAAAAAAAAAGAAAAAAAAAAGTAACAGAACAAAACACACAACAAAACAAGCATCAAATTATTATCATTCAATGTACTGTATTAATAGAAGTTGCTTAAATGAAATTAGGGCAAAAACTGGTGTGTTATTTCTACTAGTATGCCTACCAGAATGCCCACTGTTAATTATGGTGACAAGTTTATTTCCTGTCTTTATTTTGACCACATAAACATTTAAATACTTCATTTATTTTTTTTTAACCTTTAGTCACTGATGAAACTCATGCTATAATTTTTCACATCAGTAAATTGGAATACCTAGCTTGCCATATCAGGCAAGTAAGAATTCTCCAGTCTTTGTCTGACATGCTCTCCCCTGCATTAGCATAGGAAGCCAAAACACGTATCAAATCCCAAGGTTTACTTATTTTTTTGGTAGTAAGTAAAACTGTGATCCTTTTAGGTGACTAACAGAAAAGCAAGCATATCTGAGTGCTACTCTACAACTATTTTTTGGTTAACTGGGTGGGAGAGGACCAAAGAAACAAGAAACAGATGCCAACACTAACAACCAATGCAAAATATTTCAGTTCACTATACCAAATTTCAGGCTTCTAGATGGACTAGAAGAGGACTATGACAAAAAATTTGTACAGAATATAAATGTATCATTTTCTCATAACTTCTGGTTTAATTTTCTCAAGACAACCTCCTGGAAGTACCAGGAAAACAAACACACTGTTTAACTGATTGTAGAAAATGTCAAGGTAACAGTGTTGTCTGTGTGTAGTCACTTTTCCCTACCTTTCCCTTTTCCATCCACGTGGACCCTGCCTGGCACCTTCCTAACAATCAATGAATTCTTTGCTGAATTCATTCAACTCATTAACTGAGATAAGAACTACTAATTTTTTTGATAATAGATGAGTTGAATGGACTCAGAAAACACATGAAGCATGAGAGCAAAGTGAGCAGGAGAAACTTACAGAGAGCAGGACACAGCCCTCACCTTTTGACAGTAGCAAGCTGCTGCACCCTCTCAACATCTCAAATACTTTCACTTTACTACATAGCAGTTGTTTTGGAGGTAATACTTCTATGTTCCATGTAGCTATATTTTCTTTGGGAATTTCAATTCTAATGTTGAGTATCAGTGTTGCATCCCTTAAGATTAAAGCTCTCCTTGTTATAGCTGTTAGCAAATAAATAAATCAATGCAGAACTATTTCATTTCTGAACCATTGCGCAAAGTGCAAGACTGCAGTTCTGAAATGATGACAAGTCAGTTCACAGACAATCCGTTGCCTAAAATGAGATTGCAAAATCGTATTTGCTTACCTCCTTGCAAATTTGTTTCATTGTAACCTCCTCCAAGTTCGCACTGGCCAATAAGTTCTTGACAGTTTCTTTAATTTCTTCATCTGTGGGTGGCTTCTTCAGCTTTTTAATTAAAGGTTCATCATCTGAACTATCGTCAGACTCGCTTTCTAAAGAGGAAGAATAATTTGAGTTGTAATAAAAGACTTTCAATTTGTCTGCTTTCTTCCTCCAAAACAGAAGCCATCAGAACTTTCCCCAAATATGTGATGCAGATGTTCTCTTTAAAATAGACATCTTGCCAGACCATCCATTTAAAGACAAAGGTAATGGTATCAGCACTACATTTATTTATGAATCTGCACTGCTCTTGATGAACTATCAGTTTACAAATCAGTACGTACTCTAAAAAGTATAGGACAGATTAATTTATCAAGATAAAAAAAGGTTTATAATAACAATTCTAAATAGAGGTATTACATCCTTTAAAAAAAAATTAAAAAAAAAAAACAACCAAACAAACAAGTCCTTATTCACTTTCAAAAGGAGTTTGAATTCCCCCCTTAACTCCCCCACCCCCAGCAGCACTGTGTACAAGTATCTTGTAATTTTGGAATGATGCATTACTAAACATGCTATTGGAAAAACCATGACAACAAATGAAGAGAATCATAAAGGACTGTTCAGTCAAGAGGCACAGGACACTCCTACGATCTTTTCCAGCAGCAAAAAAATTAGACTGAACAACTCCACTCAGTTCCTGCACGGCCAGCAACAACAAAAACATTAGCGCAGATGCTAAACAAAGTAGATAATGAGCTCACAAAAAGATTTAGTTAACATCTTGAATTTTGTCCCAAGAACATACACTCAAAACAGAAATACAGGAAGAGTACAAAAGAAATTGTGAATATATTACGCAACTTACATGCCAAACACACACAACATTTATATACGTGTGTGTTGGTGACAAACTGAAGTGTACACACACACAGTCAGACACATTAGTACTGCCAGCAGCCAATCTGAAAATACAGAGTTCAGCAAAGGCCAGTTTACTCTGAGAAATAAAGCTATGAAAGAATAATTCTATGCATAAGAGTTTAACCATTCCTTTTCTTAACATGCTGAAAAGCAGGGTAATTAATCTGAACTGACATCTGCTATAGCATGTGCATGCCGACACTGGCATTAACTGAAGTATGTTTGCAGCATGAATATATGCAACATTAATAACTCATACTAAAATTGTGACAGAGGCATGGCTGTTACCTCAGAACACTAGAGAACCTAAGGTGAGAAAGGACGTCTGAAGATCATCTGGTTTAAGCCGCTACTCAAAACAGGGCCAATGTGGAACTGGTTGCTCAGGGCCCTGCCAGGCTCAGTTCTGAACATCTCCAGCAACAGGAATTCTACAACTGCTCCAGGCCCTGTTTCCATGTGACCAACCTCATGGTGAAGCTTTTCTGCCCCATACCTGTAATTGCACCTTGTGGTGGCAGCTTGTGCCTGGTGCCTCCTATCCTCTCACTGTGCACATCCAAGCAGAGCCTGGCCCTGCCTTCCTCATGCTCTCCCATTTGGTAGTTGCAGACCGCACTATGATCCCCTTTTATCTGTCTCTTCTTAAGGCTGAACAAGCCCAGCTCCCACAGCTTCTCCCCTGCATCATGTGCTCCAGCCCCCTGGCCATCTTGGTGACCCTCCACTGGACTCGCTCTGGTATGTCCATGTCTGTTGTGCACCCAGGAGCCCAAAGCTGGACTCTGCTCTTGGAGGCAGGGTCATAAGGGCCGAACAGGGGGTAAGAATGACTTCCCTCAAGCTGCTGGCTACACACTTGCTGAAATAGCCGAAAGTGCTGTCAGTGTTCCTTACCACAGGGCACATTGCTGAGTCGGGTTCGACTTGCTGTCTGCAAGAACCACCTGCCTCCCTACCCTGATCCTTTTCTGCAAATCTGCTTAGAAATAAACCACTGTCCCCACCTGCACTGCTGCAATCTTTACACAGGTATTAATAAACTCGATATATGGATAGCTTTTATGCAGATCAACAGGACATACGTAGAACGCATATTTATGTTAACAAAACCCACAAGCTGATGAACAAAGGACATTCACACCAG